TCAGTGAAGCTTTTGACAAACAGTTTTGGTGGAAACAGGAGAATCGAGGTGTGTATTTATTTCAGTTGTGGTTTTATGTTTTTTGGATACAGTCTGGGTTACATCCCTCTCAGACAGCTTCCTCTTGTGTCGTCAGTTACTCCTGTTGGATGTGGTTCGTCCTACGTGGTGGTTTGCCAACATTACCCAGTATAGCATAGCTCTCGATACACCACAAAGACTTGCTGTCCTGGTCACAGATGAGCCAGCGAGACACACACCAAAATTAGGTCCTCTTTTTACCTCTTATGCGTCTCCCGTTATGTTGTGTGGATTGATATATTGAAAGTGCTGTGCTATTGCTCTGCTAATTCAACCTTCACACTCGGCTCTTACTGATGCAATGTAAAATCAGAGAAGATTGGCCAGGCCGCGCATATACAGGCGGGAGTCCTCCAACACTATATTGGCCAGTGTTTCAGTTTCATTGTCCAACCCCTATAAGCAACATTTAAATTGCTTTCATTAAATGTTTCACCAGTACCAGATCTTTTTGGAGGGTTCTTAACAAAATCAAATGGATTTTTCCATGTCTCTTCCATGACGTTTACAGCTCAGGTGATTGTGTGCTCATAAAGCAAAGATGGCAGCGTCCAGATCAATCTGACATTAAACTGAATGTCAACGCAAACTCATTGATGCAACAACCTACTAAAAACATCGGAAATAAAATCAAAAGAATCAAACCAAAATCCACAATACAACTACATATTGAGCATATCCGAGGACTTAACATCTGTATTGTTGATTTGACACTGCAGTCGCGCAAGATTTAAATACAGCTGTTCATCAAGAAAAGTCTATGGAGGTGAAGACAATTTGTCTATTTTTATTTCATTTTCTGTTTGTCTGTGTCTCTCCATCGCTCTCTCTCTCTTTTAGATCAACAGGATTGCATGAATAATACATGAACTGTCAATCATTCCAGCACATTATACCCCTCCTGTCATCTTCTGTGCCTCTGTGACACATCCATATTTACACACATACACTTTTTTTCACCGTTTGGTCCATTCCCTCACTTATCATCTGCAATCTGTCCACTCAATTTAATAACACACACACACACACAAACCTATCCAGCATGAGGGCCCAGTTGGACAAGATAAATGAAAACCAATTCCTGAACTTTTACATCTAGTCACCCAATCTTTAATATTTGGTCCATACTTGTGAGTGGCTCCATATATCAATGGCAGGAATCGATGAAACACAGACAGACGCAATAATCAATAATGGACCTGATTTTGTTTCTTCATTCCCTAAACTGTATTGATAAACCCCTATAGGAGCATGAATGAGTGCCAGGCACATACAAGAGGGTTGCTTAGTTTGAAGCTCCGATTAAATCACATTTGCATTGTCATCCGTATAAAAACGAGTCATTAAAGGAAGAGTAACAAGCATGAAAGGTAAATATGTCTCACAGAAACAGTAGGAGAGGGGGTGAGGCTCCAGATTGTGTTTAACATCTTTACAGTCTGTTAGTGATTAGGTATTCGTTCTTCAAAACAAGTCATCTCAAATACCAAATATCTTATTATCGCATTGGCGTTTTTAATCAAACCCAATTAGTAGGTCATTAACCCACAGTTGTAATCATTCATGGGATAACATTTGCAAAGACACCTCTTTATCAATTAACTCATAAAAATGACCTAGAAACACATCAACTGTAATAAAGTTTGTTCCACTTTGAAACGTGTGAAGAATTAAAGCGCACCGCTACACGAAATCACCTGCGAAAAACTTCATCAATTAACTCCATCAGTCACATCCAAATCAATTAAACCATCAACAAACACACTCCCCCAACATCTAGGCTTTCGGTTCCATGACTGAAAGTAAATCCCAAATGAGTGATTGCACCTGCGGATTGATGGTGGTTTGTTTGTGAAAGAATCAGTATTTTAAATGAATCTTATAAGTGAACGAATCGTTCTCGTTGCACGTGACCAATAGCATTAAAACACATTCTATGAAGGAGCATTTCATTGGTTGAACACACTGAAGCTCGCTCTCATAGATTGGTGCAGGTATGACGTCACTTTGTAGGGCAAAACGCAGAAGCGAGTTGCATTTTAGCACTTCCGGTTCCATCGTCCCCCAAATCAATGGGGTTTTTGAATAGGATTTTGGTTAAATGGCTGAAATAATATCTGGTGAACACAAGCTCAAGACACTTTCATGTTTTATTCTACGGCATGAAATACACCAATATTACCCCACTCATGATTTTTTTTTAGCTGTTACGTGTCTTGAAAAAGGCGGTTGCTAACAAGTGGCTAAATGAGACTACAGAGACTATTAAACGCCATCACGCCGAACCGTAAACTCAGTCCGCTTTTACAGCATCGGTATGCTTATAATTGTGCTCTTACAAACTATTCTAACTCAAATGTTCTGGGAAAATGTTTTTAGATTAAATCTGGAAGAGTTGTCGGAGGATTAGTGATTTAGCTTTTTACTTCTGGGGACTGCATTTAGGCTTCAAAATTCATGAAAGTTGTGTTCATCTGTGATAATTATCTTGATAGACAAAATTTGCAAGTATCATAAACATTTGTTGATCACAGAGCATGTTTTTAGCGATAATCCAAAAGGCTAAATCCTATTGGGTTTTTGTCGAGGGAACCAGCGTGATGCTAACTGCCGATTGGCCTACAAAGTGACGTCATACCTGCACTCTATTGGCTGTCGCGGGTGTCACGATGAAGAGTCGTGTTTCATATTTTCATGTTTAATATTTGCGATCGTGCGGGCTACGACGCAATCGGGAGCAGTAATCATAACGACATCACACAAATCAAACATAGCGTTAGTTCTGGCAGGTCACGTTAGTCAAGCTAACGCATCAGCTGACTCTCGGCTGATACACGTCTACCTATAGGAATACGACGCCTATCACTGTATACATATATAAGCTCCTCCAGTATTATCAGCAGCGATCGCGTTTCTCAGGAGCTAAATACCCTCCTCCCTCCCCAGCTCCACCTCTCTTTAGTCAGGATTTGGCATTCTGATTCCCCTTGAATCAGACTAATTTCTCGAATTATGTTGTACATTAAAATATTGACAACGATATCTGCAATACATTTATGTTATTCTGTTCTGTTTACCCTAAGGGGGGTTATTGCTGCTCTTGCCCAGAACAAAACCATACCGCCAATCATCTTTGACGATAGTGGTTCTGACCGAATTGATGATTTTTTGGATCGTTGGGGGTAGCAAATCTGGCCCAAAATTGGTCTTAAAATCTTCAATTGTTTGGCCAGCCTAAACAAGTCAGTGTTTTAACCTGAAGAGAAGCACTGAATAAGACACCTCTTTTGAAAACTAACTGGGACGTGATATTAAACTTATGATATTGAAAAGTCCTTATGATGCTTATGTAACCGGTTAGAGAGCGCAGTCGCGAGCGCGCCTCTTGAGATCAGGGGAGTGAGGTTTACACACACAGCTCTTACTGGCCTATGACAGTTTTACTGTCGGTTTACCAAGTTTCTTAGAAGATTTGTAAACAAGCGCAGTTTATTAAAACACAGCAAAACTGTCTCGCTCAAGTGAATGACTCAATGACACTCACAACAGACAAAGATATGTTTGTCTCCACCTACAGGCGTAAAGATGTAGAAAAGGTCACTGACTGAATCACTGAACAAATCTTTAATGGATTCAAAAGATTTGATTCACTGAGATGAATCAAAGTCTCAGCCACTAGCTACTACATGTTCTGCTAACCTTTTGGGGATGAGTAAAAAAAAGCAAAACCTGACTGAACCTTCTCATGGGGATTGTTGACAAATTGACTAAATGATGTCTTAATTAGACTTACATAACAGTAATTATGATAACCTTCAAGCAAATGCAGAACATTTCCTTTTACAGTAGGCTATGCTGTGTGATCCTGTTTAGTTATTTTAAGGAACCAGTTCACAACGTTCAAGCATCTTTATAAAGAACACTTTGCAAATGTTCATTATGTACCTATACAATTTCGTGTTTGTGGGATAAACAAGTAAATTTGAAGGTGCTGTGAAAAAAAAAAATCGAATTAAACACCTTTTATACACCAGAACCCATTTCAGAAGCGGGTTTGTCCTGATATTTGAGGGCTTATCCGTGCCCATCTCTCCTTTCCAAAGCCAGTTTCATTCACGCTACGGTTATCATCTTCTCACGGCCATTACCGCATATCAAACACCGTCTTTTGCTTTCTGGCTCTCGGTAGCAGCAGGTGTTGCTGGCGTAACCCGAACGCGCCCACTCTTAATTCCAGTCACCTCCGTGCCGGAGCCCCGAAGCGAATTCATTTACCGTGGGAGGGACACCGGGGGAAATTGTAGTGGACACCCAGCGAATTCACGGGGAATCACGCTACGGAAACACGTGGGAGAGCTGACACAAATAACAGCCCACGATACCCCAGCAAAACGCCCGCGGAATCATCACCCAAAAAAAAAAAAAATCACATTAACACAAAGATCCGCGCGCAGTGATGCGGATACCGGGGACGAGGCACCTGCTTTGACCTTGTGTTTTAGTCGTATGTCCTTCCTCAAGTCTCTTCATGTGAGGATCTACCAAGGACGAAGCGCACAACAAGTAGCTCTGATCAATCCTTCGATAAGAAAGCATGCACGCAACAAACAGACCTTCATGGGACCTCAAATCAAAGTTATATATCAAATACAGCATGCAACAGTAATCGCTGTCAACGCAAATGCCCTGAGAGCGCGTGACAATGTCAAACAGTCATTAGTGCGCGCGCTCTTGTATGTGTGCGCCTCGACAATGATGTAAAACAAGGGGGCAAAGAAGTGATGACCCCCGTGACAGGTGCCTACCATCTCCAACACCCTGGTGTGCCTCCACACCAGACCTGTCCGCGCCACAGGCACCAGTCCGAGGGGAGAAGATACTCCTACAAGTTTAATGGCAACAGAACCAAAAGCGCTCACCTTTGCTGTACTCCTGCTCCCTGTTCAGATACATGTCTGCAGATTGATGATGGACTCCTGGCTGGAGGATTTAAGTGCTTATTGTTACTCCACCGGGGGAAACTCTCGCGGTTCCGTGAGTGTTTATTGTGTCGTTGCTCGGCGGAGAGTCCTCCTCCTCCCAGAATTACGCGCGAGCAGGTTGTCTGCACACATCTACTTTCTCTCTCTCTCGCTCGTTCCTCACACACACTCACGGTGACGTGCTTTGAGACATTGCCCCGCGGGTGGGGTGGGTTGGGGTAGCGGATGCTTCATAGCTGTTATTGTGTCCATATACATCCCTATTTAACATATATCAATGCTTTGACTATTGAAAATGTTTTCCTCGGATGCAGCCTGAATGGTTTGAGCATGTGCAAAATGTCTGTACCAGGCTATAGGCTGCCTTGACATTTATTCCTTAAAAAACAACTATAATCTAGGCAATATTTATTTTTTATTGCACCAGTACTTATTTTTCTAAAGTAATCCAACGGTATCTTTTCTTTTCTTTGTTATTGTTAATCATAAAATATACAATAAAAACTGAATGACTAGTATACTTTTCAATCTCATTAGTATATTCTAATATAGTCTCTAATCATTAAGTCACTAGTATTGATATAAGAGCATGTATTCCTTTGCTGCTATAGTGACAACTAACTATTACTCTGTTACTGGTAACAAATTGCAGATTTTTGCAATTGAGTAATCTTATAGCTTGTATCAATCAAATACTAATTTCTGACTAGTATGTATTCCAATTGTTAATGGTACCTATTCCAGTTTTAGTAAGTAGGCTACTTCATATTTACTCTTTAAATAGTTACTAATGTCTTTCCATTTGCTAATGTACTAATGTTTTTCCAGTACCAATGGAAACATATCTGTTCATTAGACTAGATTTAAAGTCTTAGTAAAATGTTCTACTAGTTAAGCAACCAATCTGACTCACCACAGGCTGCATCTGAAATCACTTCCCTACTATAGTGAAAACCAGTATGTGACCAAAGAAGTATGTCTGAATTCACAGTACTCAAACAATATAGGCCAAAAGTGCTCGGATGACCAACTTCTTCTGGTGAGATTCTGAAGTGTGCATATGATGGACACTTTACGAGGCCACGGGAGAGGATTTATGGATGCTGGCATGGAAGCGACGTAACTGATGCTGGTAGGTCAAGTGATAATGACAACATGGCGAATGTAGTATAGGCTACGTCTAGATTACATTCATACTACAGCCTATAGAATATACTTTTTTAGCGGTCGTGAGGTAATTACTTATTCAAAATATGTACCTACTTAAGAACGTATGCGATTTCAGACGCAGACACTGTATGGCAAGTTAAAAAGCTATTGACCCTTTTTGTTTTTCAGTGTCTCTCAGAAGCGGAAGTCGTCATAGTTGGGTAAACTTCTATAGCGGGGAATGAGAGACCATATTTTTGTGTGATTCAATTTGCTCAATTAGCACAAGAAAAACTCCACAAGTGTTTTCAAAACTTTCAAAAAGAGGAAAAAAATTTAGATTGATATGGCATTTCAGAAGACAGAAAGATGTCAACTTTTTGTGTGTAATTTAATTTAATGCAAATGTAATATGATACAAAGTATAGTCTTATAAATGTACATACATTTTTGTTTTTTAAAATGAAAATATAAAAAACTTTTCAGGATGTTAAAACGCGTCATCATCACAGTCTGTGAAAAGGGTTGAATAGGGCTTCTGTGATGTGACATGTTGTTAGTAATATTTGGAAAACACTAAATATTAGTAAAGCTGGATTAGTAGTAATGAAGTACAAGTAGGCCTACACGTCACTGTTGGATTAATTGCTAATTTTTAAAAGAAAAGTACATGATGTAACAATAGGCCTACTCGATATTTGAAATGAATTCGCGTTGAAGCGGTTTGCCGTGATGTGTTGTGTCTCGCGCTGGGAAGCGTAACGCAATCCAGTTTGTATCCTTTGAGTATTGATGCACCTGGTACCGTATAGCCAGTGAAACACTAACTGAAGCTGTGCTTTATTAACCCGTTGTTGCATAAGCATAACATCCATGTGTGCACAGCACCGGTGGCGCAGATGATGCTCCGCAGGTGGAGCTGCTCGGCCACCATCCCGATGGAGAAGGAGCCCGTGTCCCAGAGGCTTCCACCCGCCCCGCCTAATCATCCCTGCTCGCACGCACAGACACGGCCTCAGAGGAGCAGAACCACGGAGTAAATGCAACCGATCGTCCTATCCCGCAGTAAACCGCTAAACCCCTGCGCGTTCACTCATTTCGCACGCCATTCACGCCTCACACACACCGGAGGAGGAGTTGCGCGGCACAGTGGCGACTTCTAGCGGCGAGATTGTGCCATTACATGCAGAACTCACATACAGTTAAAGGAATAGTTTACCACAAAAAAAAAATTGTCAGCATTTTCTCACCCTCAAACATTTGTGTTCTTTCGTCCCTGGAATTCAAAATGAGAGAAGTTTTTCATACAGTGAAAGTGAATGGGGGTAGATTATATCGTAAAATATGTCACATGATCCTTCAGAAATCATTCTATGATGATTTGATACTCAAGAAACATTTCTGATTATTATCAATGTTTAAAAAACTTTTTTTTGCTGTAAAATTAGTGAGCTTGCAGGATTACACATTATGCAACAACAATTTACAATTTCTATGAACATTGTATAAATCTGACACAAAATGTTTACATGAGATTTTAAATCGTTTTTGAGGTGTTTACAGGCAGTTTAAACCTTTCCCCGGCAAAAAGAGGGAAAAAAGGTTATTAAACATAATTGGTGAAAGATTGTGCATATAATCACACTCATTCTCATCACATACTGTTACATTTTATTCATACTTCCACATGCAGGCTTATTCCAAATATTGCTCAAATAATGTTAATTTCGGAAATGTCAATACTGCCGCGTCTACACGAGCGGGGAAATCTTGTTTACCCCTGTTTACAGCTTATATTAAGATGTGTTTTGGTCGATCGGATCACACAAGTAGGCCTAGACGACGCTAAATGCAGGTGTAAACGAGGTCTAAACTATGGGTCTAAAACGTTATGAGCTTGCCCACTTTGGACACTTCCAGAGGGAGTCGAAAACACATTAGACCGGATTGCTTTCGTAGTGTAAACGCTCTAAACACTTTAAACTTTGTCGACTAAAGACCCAAGTTTGGTTTGAAGATGTAAAACGTACCAAGCACAATGTTCTCTCTCCATTCCTGATTTCTAACACACACTCACAGCGTTCGGCTGGTCTTGTGTCTGTCAGAGCAGAAACTAAAGCTGATGCTCTCTGTGTGTTTTCTGTCGTCTCCGGCCGCGTTCATATGTAAACTGTGTGAGATAATTTTGTCCATTAGATCGAGAGATCTAAAAAACCCATTCATTTACTCGCCCATAGACCCTACCCTCGAAGAAATCAGGACAGAAGTGGTTGAAAGTGGACAAAAGAGACGGATTTAAACACCAGGTGTGAACGGGAATGTGTCTCCCTCGTCTACTTGTGATCCGATCGACCAAAACACATCTTTATACCAGCTGTAAACAGGGCCTTGGATTTGTTGGCATCAGTGTAATAATGACACCCCGCAGAGATCTGTGCTCTTAATACTAAAAGTCCTGTCCTTCTAAACGAGTGACTTTTGAAATAGAGATGGCCCTGATTTCTCTCTCTCTCTCTCTCTCTCTCTCTCTCTCTCTCTCTCTCTCTCTCTCTCTCTCTCTCTCTCTCTCTCTCTCTCTCTCTCTCTCTCTCTCTCTGTCTCTCTCTCTCTCTCTCTCTCTCTCTCTCTCTCTCTCTCTCAGTGTGGAGTGTGAGGAGGATCATTTATGCAGTGGAGAGAAACAGCGGGCGACCTTCCGAGAACATCATCGCTGGCCGTAGAAATGAATTTCTAGTCAACTCCAGACCTTCCTCTCACAGGAGCAGAACTTCCTGCTGCGAATCATTCATCGTTAATGCTGGTTATTTCATTTTCCTTAACGTAATGTTTTTGAGAACTGCCCCCCTACCGGCCCGGTTAATTCCGACAGCAGTTTGGTGGTTGTTGAGACGGATAATGTACCGGAGAGACGGAGCAAAGGTCAGTGATTGAGCGCTCGCCGCTAAAGTGAGGAAGACAGATTAAACCGCTTTTGTTTGGCTCACGTGTGATATATGAGCTTCGATTTAGAAACATTAACAGTTATTTAACTGCACGGGATGAGGAATAAATCCAGCACGTCCCCCCTCGGGACCCTCCGTGAACAGCACAGATAATAATACAGCTTTTATATAACCTTTAATAAACCTGCCGGAAGGATGAGGAGATGCTCGATGAAGTGTGTCCGATGGTGCTGCTCTTACGGCCACCTTGTGTCACTTCAGCGTGTGTGTATGTGTGTGTGTCCGATGGCATGTGCTGCTCTTACGGCCACCTTGTGTCACTTCAGCGTGTGTGTGTGTGTGTGTGTGTGTGTGAGAGAGAGTGTGTGTGTGTGTGTGTGTGTGTGTGTGTGTGTGTGTGTGTGTGTGTGTGAGAGAGAGTGTGTGTGTGTGTGTGTGTGTGTGTGTGTGTGTGTGTGTGTGTGTGTGTGTGTGTGTGTGTGTGTGTGTGTGTTGTTCCAAGAAGAAAGGACATGGCAAACCTTATCCAAGTAATTACCCACAATTCATTCTGATCATCTCATGTAAAAATCAGCATTTACATGAGGTCAATTAAAAATGCAACACTTACACACACACACACACACACACACACACACACACACACACACACACACACACACACACACACTCAAGTCAGAAACAGCAGCATGTGAAGATGAATGGTTTATTGCACACAATGAGAGTGTGTTTGCTCACACTGACAGAGCTGTCTGCGCTGTGATATTTTAGTTATTTTCCATAACCTTTTTGAATAATGGGAAATGCCAGAATTTATCTATCTATCTATCTATCTATTATATATATATATATATATATCTGTCTGTCTGTATATCTGTCTGTCTGTCTATCTAGATTCAAGATTTAAATAGCTTTATTGGCATGGTGAAATAAACCTTTTCATTGCCAAAGCATTAATAACACTATACAATAAAAAATACATAAATAAATTATTAATAATAAAATAATAATAATATATGTCTGTCTATCTGTCCGTCCATCCGTGTGTGTGTGTGTATATAT